TTTTCTGACGAAAGTAAATTTAATATTTTTGGGTCAGATGGACGAAGGATGGTGTGGAAAAAAAAGGAAGAGTTTAAATTTAAAAATCTTCGGCCGAGCGTAAAGCACGGAGGTGGCAGTGTAATGGTCTGGGGCTGTATTTCGACTTTCGGACCGGGCGAATTAGTTTTCGTCGAAAAGATTATGGACAAAAATTTGCACATGACCATATTGAAAAAAAATGTACACAGAAGTGCTACAAAAATGGGGATTATAAATATGTTCAAGTTCTACCAGGATAATGACCCGAAACATAAGGCACGCATTCTGCAGGAATATTTGCTGTACAATTGCCTAAAAGTTTTGTAACCACCACCTCAATCACCTGACCTTAACCCCATTGAAAATGTGTGGGATGAACTAGAGCATTGAATTCGAAAAACACCAATATCTTCCAGAGAAATGTTAAAAAATCGTTTAAAAGACGAATGGAGTACTGAATATTTTAAAAAAATTATTAATAAAATGCAGCGGCGTTTGCAAGAAGTGATAGAGCAGGATGGCTACCCAACAAAATATTAAAACAAGTATTGTAACAAAAACCAGCCGAAAAATAAGTATGTGCATATGTAGTTTCTGAAAGTGTCCGAATATTAAAGTAACGTGTAAATCGGACACTGTTTTATTTAAACCGTATTATTCAACAACTGTTGCAAGTTATGTAAATAAAATTTACGCTATTGTTTTATAAGCGTATACGTCATCATGATCCTTAATAATTTTTTTTTTGTTAGAAATAAAGTTATAACGTAATATAGTAAAAATCTCATAATGTCCGAATATTAAAGTTACTCGCTGTATTTAAAAGTGGACAGAATTTGCAGTAAAAAGTCAGTTATAAGCGTATACGTCATCATAATCCTTAATAATTTTTTTTTTGTTAGAAATAAAGTTATAACGTAATATAGTAAAAATCTCATAATGTCCGAATATTAAAGTTACTCGCTGTATTTAAAAGTGGACAGAATTTGCAGTAAAAAGTCAGTTGTCTCCAATTGGTCTGTGCGCCAGTCCACCCCCCCCCCCCCCCCCTTTTTT